ATATATATATATATATATATATATATATATATATATATAGACGAACCTTATGGTTATGCGGCAGTGAAGCATCAGTACAAACACTGCTGCTGCTGTCTTTGATGATGATGATGATGCACAAGGGCTGGGATACTGCCAGGTTGCTTAAGCCCAGACAGGAGAGGTCGAGATGCAGAGGTTCGAACCACGAAAGTCTGCTGGAAGCCTACTGCACAGTTTTCAATCTAAACAAAGCGAAAAATCACCGATGATAGCCGTGTACTAGCCAGAGATGAAGGTCACCCTTCCATAACGGCGTAAATAAGAGGGAAACTACATTTTATTTTGTCTGATGATATACTCGTGGTGGAAACGCAATAAAGAGATTGTAAAAACTTAATTCAAACCAAGTCATGACAAATTGTACTTACGATTCTGTCAAAGGCCGCATCGAATAATCCTGAGGATGCATTGTGCTGTTGAGACACTGGTCCTTTTCCATCGTCTACGGGAGAGCCTTTTCGTTTTAATCGGTGTTGTGGGAACGATGGCATCATGTCAGGTTCGCAGGCTGTCACAAAAAATATCAAAGATAATGACAATGACTAGCATTCTAAGAAAACTTACCGTGAAATATGTTCGCCTCGACTGCGGGCGATTAAGTTTTTAAGCTAGCAGCAAAGATTGTGAATTGCCTTTGGGTCTCGATTCCTCTTCATTTGATCCAACCAAAGATATACTGTTCAAGATTGAGCTGGAGGCCTTACTTTGGTGTGCGGAAGGGGCGGGAACTCGTTCGAGAATAACATAACGAAAAACGTAAGATTCGTTTCACTTACGTCGCCCTAAGTTAAGCTTTAAACCACCGACGTTAGACCGCCCATAGTGGAGCCCCCAATGAAATCGAGAACATCCTTATAGTCCAACCAAACAGACTGGAATTCAAAAGATGTGCAGAGCACTGCAAACTTCAGTATTCCAGACAATGTGCTAGATAGTAAGGAAACAACCACCATCCTCAAATCTGTTTTCGTATGGGTTTTGTGGCATCAGGTTGGTATCCGCCACATCCAAATTGTTCGCCAGCATTACTTTGCAGAGGGATCGAGAATCGAGCTGGATTTCGCACTGACTGAGGGTGAATCAGCTATACCTTTTCCCCGAACAGCACGACTCTTTCAAGCGTCTCATGTTGGTGGCTTTTCTTGATCTGGAGGCTGATTCTCAACGCCGATCAACAGAAACTTTGGCGGTGTCTGGAAATCAAGGGCATCCCTTCTAATTTACATCTCTTATCAGAGCGAACTCCTGTGATCGAACATCACCGTGACCGCAATGACTCCCTAACTTCGGTAATCCTACCATACAAATGAGTTCAAAAATCGAACCAAGTAAAATGCAAAGAGGTGCCCGTGCCCGATTCGGAGGGACTCGTGCGATCTGATGCTCAGATACCTAGGCAATAACGACCAGCCTATGTCCCGATTCTGAGACCTCACGCTGATCAGTTGAGGTTTTACCGAAGCGCAGTGTTTATGAGCTGTAGCTCAATGTCCAATGACTAGACAGTGATGTGAAATGACGTAGGAACACTCAATAAGAGGGCAAACACCATAAAACTTACGCAAAGGGTGTTCGCGAAAGTAGGAACTTTGGCAGCACTCCCGAGCTCGTGCGCGCTTAGCAGGATCATACATAAACAAGAAGTTTAAGAGACGTAAACCGGCGTCTGAAAGCCATGGAAACGTGTGTCTTAGGTTGTTATACCTAAAAATGAAAAGCACTGATTTGAATGAGAAATGCTTACCAAAAACTAGGGTAGAATATCGAAACACGATAAACTGGTGGTAAACGCTGGTGCTTGATTGCCAATCACCCTTGAGTATGAACACGCCATTGAAAAGGGAAGGTTGGCACAAACAGCCTGATACCCTATAGGAAGCCATCAGGACGCGCAGTTTCCAACCAAATGTGATCAAGCCTCAACGATACAGCAGAACTGAGCACAACCCAGCGTTTCAGATTCTGTACTGCACTAAAAACTTCATGTATTACCAACTTCATAAGCTTCGGAATCTGGAGTATTCGCAACTTTCTTGATGATGCCGGGCAAAGTGTTTTCGCTACATAGACTTAGGTTATAGAGAAGAGACCCGTGATCGGGGATCCATTATCTCCGTAAACAACAATTAAAACTCACGCATGGAAATCTAAGCTTCAGACACAAGGTGCCTTTCAGACTCCACTACCTAACTTCGGTAACCATTATCATCAGGAATAGATATACAACAGTAGTGAAGACTCGTGCTTAACTACCAAAACTACGGAGGAAGAAAGTCCCAGTAAAAGGCTAAAATAAAATGAAGTGGAGTTAGTGCAAAAGAAATCTGCCCCTGATAAAAACCGCTAAGTGCAAGGTAACCTAATCCCAAAACCAACGAAATGAACACATATGAGCTCCATGTTAGAACGAGATACCTTCAGTGAAACCAACTCGCTGTCATTTGCAAACCTCTTCCAACACAAGCCCAGTACACAACGACAAAGAAGCCTAAGCTAGGATTTCAGGTAAGGAGTAACAACAACCTCATCATTGGGATCGGTTACGTGCCGCACGGGAAATCACATGGACCCCACCGAAGGTCCCAGAGCACACAGCTTGATTATAACCGCCAGCATTTCGCCAGGCCACGTCACAGTCCGTCCTCGGCGAACCTTTCGTCGACTTGTGGTGGCTCGTGAGACACTGACTCGAGAGCAGAAAGCGGGATTCCGGCCTGGTAGGGGTTGCATTGACTAAATCTTCACAATTCATCGGGTGCTAGAACAACGCCATACGTATAAGCGACCCACGATTTCAGGGTTCCTGCATTTCCAAGGCGCATTCGGCTCGGTTGACTGGTCTGTTCTGCTTGCCATGCTTGCCCACCGAAGAATGCCAGACCTCCGGACGTGTGAGAGTATACGGAGAGCTTGCAGCTACCCGGTCACTCATATACTTGACTTTTCAACTCACAGTCGCTCACTGGATCACAAACCACGTCATATTAAGCTTACTCATCTGACATCGACTGTCTTACCGTCTAGTGAGCGTAGCAACTACTCATGTGCTGACACGTACACGCAAACGGTCCTACACAGAGACTCGAGCGCGCGCAAGGAGCCGAAAGTCAACCACTCTCCACGGACGACTATGGAACACGTGCATCAGCCATACTGCGGAGAAAACACGTTCCCGCCGTCCGGACTTTCACCAAGGAACTCTCACCGACGACAAGTTCCTCTTCTGACTGGAAGTTGTGGAGCATTTCACGTATCTTGGAGGCTGTATTAGTTCTGATTGTAGTCTGACAGATGAGGTGCATGCACGAATCTGCAAGGCTCGGGTCGCATTCGCCAATTTGAGACACCTATGTCGTCAAAGTGGTTTATCCCTGAATCTCAAGGGACGTGTGTATCAAGCTACAGTACAGGCTGTTTTGTCGCATGGCTGGGAGATTTGGCCTATTCGAGCAGCCGACCTGAGACTTCTTCAGGTGTTCGACAATCTTTGTCTCAGAACTATAGTTCGTGTGGGTTAGTGTCCGAAAATTCGTAATGAGACAATTAGAAAGTGCGTTTTCGGTTGTGCAACGGGTACTTCCATTGAAGAATGTGTCCAGCAACAGAAGCTGTGTTGGTTGGGGTATGTATTGCGTATGCCGAAGAGAGCGCTGTTTTCCATGCCCGATTCAGAGAGGCGTAAGCAGAGAGGTGGTCAACCCTTGACTTGGCAAAGGAGTATGAAGGGGATCACGAAACTCTTGGTTGGTGTCGGTGCTACTCGCCTTCCAGGATGGGGACCATGTGATCCCCACTGCGCCTGATTGGAGACACTACAAGATATGGCTACCAACTGATGTCAATGGCGTTGTTGTTGTCGGTTTCTATCAAGATTGCCTGAGTGAATGTCTGGAGGTGTAGGCACCTCGGAATGATTGTGGTAAGCTAGCATGAAGACCCTTCCCCGTGCACTTTTATTCTTTTCTTTACAATAAGGCATTCGAAGAAATCATGGTTGTACGGCAGTGAAGTATCGGTGTGGAACACTGATTTCATGCTGCCGATGATGATGATGATGTGGTCGTCATGATGTTGCTTCTACTAGAGTTAAATTACACTACTTACTATGCCACATAGAAACACCAACACCGTGAAAAAAATGGATAACACAATCGTGTCATTCACCATTCATTCAGGCTGTGCAACACGACAAAAGGAAATGCATGACATGCAATCTTGGAACGTACGGCTGTTTTTTCAGGTTTATTTTCTCAAGAGCCGGCAACTTCGACATCCCCTTAACAGAAGGCAACATAAGGAAAGGTAACAACATACCGGCCATATCTGTTCATTAGGAGTACCTAACAGGTCTATTATTAACTCAACTTGATGAACCTCGGATTGTCCTGGTAGCAAAGGTTTGTGCAGCAATAGCTCACCCATGATGCACCCGGAAGACCTGAAAATGGAGTATAGAGAAACCGATCGACATTCCTTACCATATATCGATGGCTTTGGTTTGATTCTTATCACCAAGCAAGACTTCCGGTGCGCGATACCTGGAAGCGGTGGCACAACACCAACGACAGTCAATTATGGGGCTTGTATGGCAAGCGAACAAACTGACCAAAAACATTTTAATCAAACTTGGTTGAAGAATACTTTTTCCCATTGATCGATGATCCCTTATTAAGGACAGGACAACCATGTGGTGATTCTTTTACACCACAAACAGTCAAACCACTACCAAGCTCTTCTTTGCACTTGGGTGAGCGAAAAAGAGGAAACACTAGTTCGAAAGAGGAGGTCTCAGGTTGAACTGCAGAAGATTAGTCGAGCCTATTTAGTTCCATGCTCCTCCAAAGTAACCACGAATGACAAACCCAGAAGCTGGTTAGCAGGTAGGATAACAACCCTACCAGGAAAGAAACGGAAGTCACTGGACACCTCCCGTACGTTAAATTAACTGTCGCTGGCAGAGTAAGACAAGCTTAACCCAGCTTGTAACGGGGACAGCCGCACAAGCTTACGCAAGCCCAAAACAGTCCTTGGAATACGTCGGTAGGCTTTCGAAAATAAGGCAGCGTATAACAGCCGCCCCAGTCATTGACTCGATAACCGCCTCCCCCAAAGGAGTTCACTGACGCGCTCAGAATGGACTTTTTCGTAGTCGTGTAAAGTGACAGGCCTGTCAATTTGTCAGAAAGCTCGGTAACGCGTACCTGGTGGGACTATTGTCCCCACCTGATTGTTCGGAGGAACACGGGTTTAGAAAAGGACATTCTTGCGACAATCTTTTCAACGTTTGTAAGGAACGGACTTCCAAAATGGTCTGCCAGGACGACGATTAGAGACATTAATAAAAAGGTGTGGCTCAAAAGCCTAACTGTAAAGCAGTTGTGATTGGCGCAAGGCCAAGTCAGAGCAGCCAACATTTTTAATGGGCAACTCGCCACACATGCTTCAACCACCAACGTGAAGGACCAGGAGACCGTTAGTCAGGCCTCTGCCCACAGACCAAGTTGGTAAGAGAATCTTCGTGAGTGCACGTACACTCCTCAGTACAGCAGCGCGCAACCCGTCGGAGTTCCAAGTTAATTCATATATAAATTATAACAAAAAATATTCACTCCGCTGGTCAGTGGCTGAGTGCAGTAAAGTACATATCACCTGTGCGTCTATGTTGTACAAGCTAGTCTCCAGAATTCTCTTTCTCAAACGACCCAGTCGCCGCGACAGGGTTCAGTCAGATCAGTCAACAACCGTTGTCCACGCCAGTACAGGAGGCGACAAGAGTCGAAGCATTCAAAACTACGATCAATTAACCAGGGAGTTCGAACGTGAGTGATAATCAAGATTAGCGACGTACCAGACTGAGTATGTGGGTGAACGCCTGTGTGCGTGCCCCGGTATATGGATGGACGGAGATAAGTGTACGCGAAGAGACGAAAAACACTATTTGCCGTAAATAGGACTATGATTATGGCCAACTTAAACCAATAGTTGGAAAAAAGAAAATCCGCGGACACGCTAGTTTCTTGGTATGTTGGCAAATTTATGAAAATGAGTTCACTGCTGTTGTTTGCCCTTACAGTGCAGTGCGCTGTCACGAATGACCTGGTAGGCCGTCTCCACCATGTCACCGTTGTTTGATGGGACTGCAGTGTGCATTCGTATCAATGTCGTGCTTTATGTCGTTCCCAGAACATTTGGCACACGCTATACTCATGCTACTAGCCGTAAATGAGTCGATCGTTAAGTATCAACATAGTCAGGCATGTATACTACCAAGTCCCTCAACTGACATACCAGCGTCTCGCCCGGCAGCCAACCCACCTCCACACTTAAAAACAGATGTTCCAAGCTTTAAACTTTACTATCATCAAGACTAAACTGAACATGCATACAGTGATACGCCCGGACCGACAACTTACCATAGGGTGACAACACAGGGCGTCATGGGATTGTGGGAGTGAGTAGGTCGCGAAAGACCGAAATCAGCTACAAAATTAGCATGAAAGGCAAAACAATACCTATCTTCACCATGCCCTTGTCCGTCATCAATAGATTGGAAACTTTAAGATCGCGGTGGATGATGAAATTTTCGTGCAAGTGCCTCAGACCTTTGAAAAGCTGTAGCATTATGCACTTGACCTGAGATTCTGTGAATGGATTCGGCATGTTGTCTAAAAGGCTTGCCATATCCTGTTCACAATATTCCATCACGAGGAAAATGCTGCACAGAATTCGACAAATGAACTGAATATTACCTATCGAGTCCACGACCAACAACAACTTCGCGGAGATGCACGACGTTCTGATGCTTCAAGCTGAGCAGCAGTGTAATCTCCCGCAGACTGCTTATTGGGATACCTAATTGTGGTCACAGGGAAGAAATGAACTCACCATCTCGTACATTCTCCATTCGCACTTTCTTCAGAGCCACCACCTCCTTGGAAACAGTGTCCCGAGCTCTATCTAGACAAGCTGTATTTAAAATGTGAAATATACTTACAGACAATCCCATAGGTTCCCTCCCCTATCCTGTTCAGCTTTTCGAATTCTGCAACACTGCGACACCGTCCTTCCTGGATGAAAGATAGCAAACCAAGATATTAAACTAACCCTATACTCTTGAGGTATTTTGAAGTGACTTAACCGCCTAATGCCGAAGATCCTGAAGTCCCTGTTCTCGGCGTCAGATTCGGGCATATCGACGCAGCGAGTCAATGGTATTACTAGTCGACCTCCCGAGCTACCAGCCAAACAGGCGATTGCACTGACCTTCAGATAAAGTGATTAACGTGTCCCCGATGAATCCAGTTCAAGTTCACGTTCCATCAATTCACGGATTCACGGATTGATACACA